AAATGACAAGTGTGTGACTAAAATTTCAAATTAAGTTCAGACTTAACGAGACATCAGAAAAGCCTCATGAGAGAGAAATGCTGTGAATGTATGTGGAAAAGCCATTATGCAGAAATCATTCCTTATTGAACATCAGAGAATTCATCTGATAAGAAACCCTGTCAATCTAATGTATGAGAAAAAGCCTTCAGCCAGAGCTCAGTTCTAATTCAACGTTAAAAAGTTCTAGGGTTGGCCGGGCACGGTGGCTCAAGCCTGTAGTCCCAGTACTTTGGGAGGCCGAGACGGGCGGATCACGAGGTCAGGAGATCGAGACCATCCTGGCTAACATGATGAAACCCCGTCTCTGCTAAAAAATACAAAAAAAAAAAAAAAAAAAAAAACTAGCCGGGCGAGGTGGTGGGCTCCTGTAGTCCTGGCTACTCGGGAGGCTGAGGCAGGAGAATGGCATAAAACCTGGGAGACAGAGCTTGCAGTGAGTTGAGATCCGGCCACTGCACTCCAGCCTGGGTGACAGAGCAAGACTCTATCTTAAAATAACAAAAAAAGAAAAAAACAAAACCCAAAAAAGTTCTAGGGTTAGGCGTGGTGGCTCACGCCTGTAATCCCAGCACTTTGGGAGGCCAAGGCAGGTGGATCACATGAGGCCAGGAGTTTGAGACCAGCCTGGCCAGCATGGTGAAACCCCATCTCTACTGAAAATACAAAAATCAGCCAGACATGGTGGCGGGTGCCTGTAATCCCAGCTACTCAGGAGGCTGAGGCAGGAGAATCACTTGACCCCAGAGGGAGGAGGCTGCAGTGAGCTGAGATTGTGCCACTGCACTCCCTCCTGCACTACAGAGTAATACTGTGTCTCCAAAAAAAAAAAAAAAAAAAAAAAAGTTCTTACTGGAGAGAAACCTTATGAATGTTATGAATGTGGGAAAGTTTTTATCCAGAAATTTATTAAGTACCAAAGATTTAATCCACATAGGATCCACATAGGAAATAAGCCATATGAATACAAGCAATGTGGCAAAAATTCTCATCCAAACTTGTACCTTATTTGACATCAGGATATTTATTGCAGAGAGAAATCACAGGAGTGTAATGAATGTGGGAAGGTGTTTGGTCAGAGTCCAACCCTTCTTATACATCAGCAGATTCACATTAGAATGAAATCTGATAACTACAGTAAATGCAGGGAAGTTTTTTTTGTAGATTCATAGCCCTTGCAGAACCTAAGGCAGTTCCAGGTAAAGAGAAACCCTATGGGTACAGTGAATATGGGAAGACCACCCAGAATTCATACCACTTTCTGGATTAAAAAGAATCAAAGAAGAGACAAAGCCTATGAATCTCATGCATGTGCAAAAACCTTATAATATGTGTCAAAACCTATTAAATATCAGGGTATGTAGTCTTTAGTAGTTTAGAGCCTGTTCAGTAGCAGAAAATCCACTGTATAGATAAACTTTATGAACATAAATACTGTGACAAAGTCTTTAGGCTAATTTTAACTTTAAAAAATCAGATTTTATCATAGAAAAAAAGAAAGTAAAATGTAATCCAAACTCGTAATTATGTTAATGGAGAGACTATATATAAACATATTTAGATGTATGTTTTCTTTCTTTCTTTTTTCTTTCTTTTTTTTTGAGACTAGGTCTTTGTCACCCAGGCTGGAGTGTGGTGGTGGAATCTTGGCTCACTGCAACATCTGCCCCTGCACCATCCCCCTTCCTGCCGCTGCCCAAAGCAATCCTCCTGCCTCAGCCTCCCAAGTAGCTGGGACCACAACCGGCTAATTTTTAAAATTTTTTGTAGAGATCATGTTGCCCAGGCTGGTCTCAAACTCCTAGGCTTAGGCAATCTGCCTGCCTTGGCCTCTCAAAGTGCTGGGATTACATGTGGAGCCGCTGTGCCCAGCCTGGATATCTGTTTTCTCAAGCTGTGTCCTTCAAGGTCTGGGTACTTCTCTTGTTCTTTCACTGTACCCATCCCATTGCCTTATTCATTCAACACCTTATTAAATATTTTGTTGTGATTTGATAAATACAGAAAAATCTTTTCTGAAGACTCATGTTTCCTGCCACAAGAGGAATCATAGAAAATATGGCATTGGAAAGGCAACAGTTCAAATCCAAGGTTATTTATGATTACGTCAACCTACAATTACTGTGCAGCTCCTACGTGCCCGGTAGTGTGCCTGGCAATGGCAAATCAGAGATGCAGAAACACTTGGCCTCTTTTCCTCGGATGTCTCAGTCTAGTTGGGATACAAAGGTACATAGAGACAGATAACCAAATCAGTACAGTAATAGAGGTAAGAATACAGGGTTGAGTGGGGTCCCAGAGGTAGGAGAGGTCTGCAGAGATGGCTCATTTTCAAAATTCTGAGAGACAATAACTGTTAACCTCGAATCGTGTTTCTATCCAAACTATCTGCCAGGAATTAGAATAAAAATAGACATTTTCAGATGAGCAAAACCAAAACACCATAATAGATTTCATTAAAGGAGCTTTAAAAGGATGTACATTTAAAGAAATGATATCAGAACTGAGATATAAGGAATGATGCCAGGCATGGGAGGCTGAAGTGGGAAGATTGCTTGAGCCCAGGAGTTCAAGACCAGCCTGGGCAACCTAGTGAGACTCCATCTCTACAAAAAATTACAAAATTAGCAGGTATGATGGTGCATGCCTGTGGTCCCAGCTACTTGGGAGGCTGAGCTAGGAAGGAGGATGAGTTGAGCCCAGGACAGCCTAGGTGACAGAGTGAGACATGGACTCTAAGAAAAAAAAAACAGTTGTGTATTTGAAAACACTGACTGTAAATAGAATTAAGTATAATATGGGGGATTTAAAAACAAAGATAGAAATGAAGTCAAGACAAAAATAGCATATGAGTCAGGAAGGTAGTGGATAAAATCAGAGGATTAAAAGTGGGGCAGGATAGGTAGTCAAGGAAGTAGCCATGTCCTCGGAATGCAGCGACTGTGGTGACTGTACAATCAACACAATAAGCCTCTGCATTCCCATTGTAGTTAAGCTCTTTCAAGCAAAACTATCTTCAGTAGGGAATTTCCCCTGCAAAGAGCATATACATTTTGATTTTACCTGTCCTCAGACTGACCCTTCGCTCATTATAATAGTAAAAAGCAGAGCCCTGGTTGGAGATTTAAGATGTTAATGAGACACGCGACATGTATGAATAATCATATACAAGTATGTACAAGCATTGTATGACAACAAGCATTGTATGAACAAGCATGTAAGAACATACAGCTACCGCACATGTGTGCTCAGAGGACCGTCCAGAATGTACTAGTATCACCTCTTCCCACTTCCTTACGAATAATCATGTAAGGCCCCCATAAAGGGAGTCTCCCTCATGCATCTTTGCTGTCTCCTCCTTACGAGCAGCTGGCCCTGAATCCTCTCTCTCTCAGGGTGTGCTGTCTATTGTGCACTTAACTTTCCAAATATTCTTTCTCCTTTGTAATAAATTACTCCATGCCGCATTTCCTTTGCTGTGGGTCTCGTTTAAATTCTGGTTTTTTTTTTTTTTTTTTGAGACGGAGTCTTGCTCTGTCGCCCAGGCGGGAGTGCAGGGTGTGATCTCAGCTCACCGCAAGTTCCACCTCCCAGGTTGACACCATTCTCCTGCCTCAGCCTCCCGAGTAACTGGGACTACAGGCGCCCACCACCATGCCTGGCTAATTTTTTTGTATTTTTTAGTAGAGACGAGGTTTCACCATGTTAGCCAGGATGGTCTCGATCTCTTGACCTTGTGATCCACCCGCCTAGGCCTCCCAAAGTGCTGGGATTACAGGTGTGAGTCACCGTGCCTGGCCAAATTATTTTAAACTACGAAGACAAGAACCGAGGTCTCACAATAGCCATCAACAAAAGATTCTTGCATTAGTCATGAGGAAAGTAAAAATATTAACTTAAGAATTTTATACATTAAGAATGCATATTAAAATTTCAAGATCAACTACTAAAAGAATAAAAATAGAGCACCTAAACCAGCAGAGAGAGAAACGTGGGAAGACAGAAAAAATCTATAGTTAATCCAAAGTAAAGTGAGAAATGGAAAAAGGTGTGGAAAAACAAAGACAAACAGGATAAAACTAATAAAATATCTATCAGTAGGACTAAATTTTCCTGTCATGAGGCAAAGATTGCAAGGCTAGATTTAAAAGATCAAGCCATATGGACATTTAAAACTTGAGCACAAAGTTTGAAAGTAAGAGAATAGAGAAGAGAAAGCTGTTGAAGCTTTGTAACTATCAGATGAAATCAACTGCCAAACTAAAAGTTTTACTATAGTTAAAAGAATGTCGTTACATAATTCTGAAACATTCAAATTCACCAGAAAGGTACCAATATTTTAAATTTGCAGAAGAAAAAAATCTCTAATATACCTAACATTGTAGAATAGCAAAGAGTAATACACAAATTCACCATCATAGTGGGAAAGTGTTATATGCCTCTCTTACTAATTGATAGACCAGAGAGACAAAAAATAAATTATTACGGGTTAAGAGGTTTTTCCTCTCCTGACACAAAATAGGTGGTGCCTTCTCTAGCACCAACTGAGTGTCCAACAATTCAGTTTGATTCTCTTACTGCCTGCCAGAGTGAGCATCAGACCACAGGTTTAAGGGTAAGTCCCATAAGTCTGCCTTCACTTAAGACAACAGTTGCAAAAATAACCTGGGTGGGTACCCAGGTTACCCACACTTCTGTCTGACTTTGCTATAAAGTCAGGTATTCCCCAAAGCCAGCCCCTCTCCCAGATTTAATAATTTGCTAGAATGATTCACAAAACTCAAGAAAATGCTATACTTACCATTACCATTAATGATAAGGGATACAAATGAACAGACAGATTCAGACAGGGCAAGATCCAGAAGGGTCCCAAGCACAAAAGCCCTTGTCTCTGTGGAGGCTGGGCACACCACTTACTAGGCACATAGATACATGAGCTAACTCAAAAGCTGCCCACTCAGTCATTTTGGAGTTTTTATTGAGGTTTCATTATACAGGCATAATTGTGTCCATTGGCGATTAACTCGATCTCCAGCCCCTTTCCCCTTCCCAGAGGTTGAAGGGTGGGTCAGAACTTCCAAGCTTCTAATCAAGGCTTGATCTTTCTGGTGACCAGCCCCTATCCTAAAGCTATCTAGGGGCTTGCCAAGAGTCACCTCAGAACAAAATATGCCGCTGTCACCCTTATCACTGAGGAAATTCCAAGGGCTTTAGGCGCTCTCTGCCAGGAACCTGGGAAAAAAACCAAACTTTTTCTTAATCTACCATAAGGATATAGATTATTTATGCTCCAATTTGAATGCTGGTGGCAATGAAAAATGACATGTCTGGGAATAATTAACACAATGTGAAAGGTATTCATAGAGAAAGTTATAAAATTGTACTAAAAATATTAAAAAAAACCCCTATGTAAATGAAGAGGTATACCAGGTTCGGGTTAGTCTCATGATTACTAAATATGGAGATTCAATTCCCCCCAAAATGCTCTATAGAATTAATTCAATTCTAACAAAAATCTCAAAGAAGTTTTTAATAGGAAAAAAAGCTGATTTTAAAAATGTACGTGCTGGTCATGTACAGGAGCAGTGGCTCATGCCTGTAATCTCAGCATTTCGGGAGGCTGAGGCAGATCAATTGAGGTCACGAGTTCAAGACCAGCCTGGCCAACATAGCAAAGTCCGGTCTCTACTAAAAATACAAAAATTTGATGGGCATGGTGATGTGCACCTGTAGTCCCAGCTACTTGGGAAGCTGAGTCATGAGAATCACTTGAATCACGCAGGTGGAGGTTGCAGTGAGCCGAGCTCATGCCACTGCACTCCAGCCTGGGTGATAGAGTGAGACTTTGTCTCAAAAAAATAGATAATGAAAAGTATACACAAAGACAAAGGGCCAAAAATAGTCAAGGTGCCTGTCTTTGTTTTTTGCTGCTATAAAAGAATATGTGGGACTGCGCAATTTATAGAGAAAATAAATTTATTTGGCCCCTGGTTCTGGAGGCTGCAAAGTCCAAGATTGGGGGGCTGCATCTGGTGAAGGCCTTCTTGCTGCATCCTCAGAGGATTGAGGGGCTCAGTGGAGGCAGAGTACATGGAAACAGGTATGTATGATTTGTAGGGCATGGGCTGGCTGGACAGTCAGGCAAAGGGTAGTCCATGGCAATTAAGGACCTCCCGGGTTCACGCCATTCCTGCCTTAGCCTCCAGAGTAGCCGGGACTACAGGTGTACGCTGCCACGCCCGGCTAATTTTTTTGTTTTTTTTTTTTTTTAGTAGAGACGGGGTTTCACCGTGTTAGCCACCGTCTTAGCCAGGTCTCTATCCCCTGACCTCGTGATCCGCCCACCTCGGCCTCCCAAAGTGCTGAGATTATAGGCGTGAGCCACCGCGCCCGGCCAATCTGCTGAATTTTGGGGGTAATCTGCCACACTGCAGTAAATAACTACCAGCGATGACCAAACTTTTACCCTTCCAGACCTTGCAGACCAGGCAGCTAACACTTCCCATCCCACGGTCTCAGAAAACACCACTTTCCACTCCTGTGTCCCGGACAGGGATCATCAGACAAGTCGAACTCTCACCTTCTCAAGCAACACAACCCACCCTCCTGGCCTAGCCCGCTCCTGAAGCCTCACTCAGTCTCACCTCAGCCCCTACGCAACTCCTCTCGGTTGTCAGGCCTCCATCGGCGGGGGTCGAGTGTTGTGTGTGACCCCAGGTCTCCAGCAAGGTATAGTGGGAGGGAAGCATCCGGGAGAAGAGAGGGGGTGGGATTGGGCTCTCCCTCTCCCCCATACCGCCACCCTCCCTCACGCCCATATCCTGTCCAAGGCTCTTCCAGCGTCTGCTTCTGAAATCCCTCCACATCCCTCCACCCCATGTGCCCTACTCGTTGCACAGGAGCAGAGAGATCCGCAGAACACACGTCTACGATTATGCCACTCTTCAGATTTACATCTTGCAGCAACTTCCCACTGCGTTAGAACGGAAGTAAACCTCCATGACGGGGGCCCTCCCAACTCACAGACCTCACCCGAGCCCCCACGTCCCGCGTCGCCGGCCTCTCAACCGACCGTGCCCTGACCCTCTCGGAGCGAGCGCCGCGGGCTGCGCCGGGCCCCAGGCCTGCGCCTCTTCCCCATTTCCCAGGGGTCTTTGCCGACCACCCTCCTGCGCCACAGCTGCTCAAGTTCTGTTTACTTGCTTTTCCCTCCCCACCAAAAGGTGAGCCTTGAGAAGACACACCCTTGTGTAGAGCTTTGAACTTTTATCCGGAAAGGTGCCGGACACATAGGCGGTGCCCGCGAGCACTCGCTCACAAGGTTCCTTCCGAGACCGCCCTACAGCCTCTTTCCGGATCCCCCAGGCACCCCCGACCCCGGCCTCGCCCCGCCCCGCCCTCGCCCCAGCCCCGCCCCGGCCCCGTCTCAGCTTCGCCTCGGCTTCATCCCGCCCCAGCCTGGCCCAGCCCCTCCTCTCCCCTCCCTGCTAGTCCCCTTCCCGCCCCCGCCCCGCCCCGCCCCGCCTCGACCCGCCCCAGCCCCGTCCCAGCTTCGCCTCTGCCCCGTCCCGGCTTCGCCTCAGCCAGGTCCCAGCCCCGTCCCAGCTTCGCCGCGCCCCAGCTTCATCCCGCCCCTTCTGCCGGGCGCCCCAGCTTCATCCTGCCCTAGCCTCGCCCTCCCCCCTCAGGGCCTCAAGTGCCCGCCCTGCCCTCCCGGGCCCTCCCTGTCCTGCCCTGCCCTGCCTCGCCCTGCCTCGCCCTGCCCTAGCCCTGTCCCAGCTTCGCCTCAGCCCGGTCCCAGCTTCGCCTCAGCCAGGTCCCAGCCCCGTCCCAGCTTCGCCGCGCCCCAGCTTCATCCCGCCCCAGCCTCGCCCCTTCCCCTCAGGGCCCGCGCGCCCCGCCCCGCCCCGCCCCGCCCCGCCCCGCCCGCGACCCTGCGGAACCTAGAATCGCAGGCGCCCTCTTGGAGGACGGAATTCGACGTCTGACTCTGCGCCCCGCGTAGTTCCGGTGGCGACTGCGGAGCATGGCGGTGAGCGGTGTGGAGAAGACGCGCGGGTGGCTGGGCGTTGCACTGTCGGTGGCCCTCCGTGACCCTCGTGCTGCCCCCCTTTCTCCAGGCCCTAGGACGTCTTGCCGGGGAGGCAGCGGCGGCCCCAGGCCCGGGTACTCCCTGCGCGTCCCGCAGACACCGGCTTCCCGGCGCGGTTTCCAGCGTCCGGAATCCCTCCACTGTCTGTCTCTGCCCAGGGCAACCCACGAGCAGTAACGCCGACACCAGAGCGCACCCGTTAGGCGATGAAGCCAGTGCAGCGTCGAAAAAACAAAAGAAGAAGAAAACCCGGAACAGGGCCTCTGTGGCAAATGGAGGCGAGAAGGCCTCAGAGAAACCCGCCCCAGAAGTTCCCCTAAGCGCTGAGGCCCAGGCAAGGGCGGGCGTCAGTCAGGAAGGGTGGAATCCCCTGGTGCGAATCCACGGGCACATGTGATCTGGGGTCCGCGGAGTTAAGGCGGGGAGGGGGATGGGATGGGGCCAGACGCTGTGTTGTGTCCCCGTGCCCTCTCACAGCCACTTCCCCAAATCCGTCACAGGCGCAGCAGTTGGCCCAGGAATTGGCTTGGTGTGTGGAACAACTGGAGCTTGGCCTCAAGAGGCAGAAACCCACCCCGAAACAGAGTAAGGGACCTTTCTAAAGAGTTGGGGAATGTGAACAGTGGCACCGCCTGGCCTGCAGGTGCTGGCAGAGGATGAAGTTGTTTCCTTTGCGGTCGGGCGGTAGGAGGTCAGTAGTAGAGGTTTTCACTAGTCCTTTGTTTTTATTCGCAGAAGAGCAGGCTATTGGAGCAATCCGAACCCTGCGCAGCAAAAGAACGCCCCTCCCCCGGAAGAGGCAGTTGATGCACTCCTTGTTTGGAGACTATAGGGCTCAGATGGAAGCCGAATGGCGTGAGGCCCTGCGGGCTCTCAGATCTGGTGAGGAGCTAGCAACTGGTTGATTTAGGAAGGCCTAATTTAAGGAGGAAGTGCCTAGGGGGTGAAAGGAAGAAGGCCCAGAGCAACAAGGCTGGTGGGGGAAGGAGATGAGCTCAGGGAAGCCTGAGGGAACAGGGAAAGAGCAAGGGTGGACCTGTCTCTCCTTTTCCCAGGACTGAACCTGGGAAGCAGCGGGGAGGTCATGGGAGGAGCGGGAAAGTGTGGCCCTATGTTGGTCCTGCTTCTGTCTTGGGGAAAGCTGCCTCATGTCTTTGTGTCTTGGCTCTCTCTACTGGCAATGAATCCATATCTCATAACAGTTTGAGTGCAATTCCTGGAGCCAGATGAGCTAGGTTCAAATCCTGGATCTACCACATAGTAGTACTAACACCTTTTGCAAACTACTGAACCTCTCTAAATGGTGGGTGATAGTAATATCAACCTTACAAATTTGAGGAATTAGTTAATTTATTCAAAGTGGTTAGAATTGTATGGGCAAACATAACTGTACAGGTAATGTTAGCTATTGTTATTCAGTTCTCACATACGCTGCTTCTCTCCCCTGACAGCTGCTTATTTAGCCCAGGTGCAGCCTGTAGATGGAGCCACCAGAAAGAAGAGCCGAAGGGTCTGCAGGCCTCGCCCTATAGGGCGAGCCAAAGCCACTCTGGACACTCCTGATGAAGAGTTTAGGTTCAATTTCTTTTAGCTTCTCCCCCAACTTGGAACATTCCCCCTCCCTTGGGGTGGTGTAGGGGTTTGTTTTGAGTGCAGAGCCTTTCCAGGACTTCTGTTGGCAGAGAGCCCTGGGGTTGGTCTGTCCCTGGCTGGTGCAAGGATTTGGAGCTGTTGTGAAGGTGTGAGACCATCAGATAGACAAAAGACCCCATTTGTTTTGTGATGAAATGTTCTCTCTTTCAGAACAGAGAGAGGTGCATTTAGAAAATATACAATAAATTGAAGTGACTGTTTGAAGTATTGTAGAAAGAATATCGTACTCAGTCTTTAGGATTAGATTAAGTGGCTGTTGGTAACAAAGATTAGTGGAGAAGCTATATAATTATACACTGTTTTTCACTTTTGAGAGGAATTCCTGTCAAATGGTTTAGTGCTTAATGCTGTTATGTCACATTGCCCTAGTCTCTATTTTTGATAAAATTGGATAACGAGTGAAAGAGTGTGCTGACCACCTGTGTTAGAGGAAGTACAGAAAACGGCAGGGATCTGGTTCCCTGGGTCCAGTCCCTTGCCTCGGTCCTTTGTCCATGTTGCCTTCATTCCTGAGCAGGTGTCATCCTCAGGGAACCAGCATGGCAGCCACCAGGCATGGCTCTCTTCTCAGGAGGAAGGAGCTTCTTGCCCTAACAGTTCTGGCCTGAGACCTGGATTGAGCCTCAGCAGACTTCTTGTCTAAATGTTGGCCATGTCAATCTCAGGCCCTCTGTTCCATGGAATTGGGAATCTCCAGGGGACCTAATCCTCGTTAGTGGCTTGATGTTTGCTGGTATGTTCCAAACTCGGTTCCCAGACTTGATTGATACCTGGAGCCCAGCTGCCTACTCAGCATTTCCACTTGGGTGTTTCATAGGCATTTCAAACTTGATGTGTTTAAGACACTTGATTAGGCTCCGGTTTCCCTTTGGTGAAGGGGTGGCCTGCTCCTCCACACCTGTGGGCATTTCTCGTTAGGTGGAACGAGAGACTTGAGAAAAGAAATGAGACACAGAGACAAAGTATAGAGAAAGAAAAAGTGGGCCCAGGGGACCGGCGCTCAGCTTACAGAGGACCCACGCCGGCACCGGTCTCTGAATTCCCTCAGTATTTATTGATAATTATCTTTACCATCTTAGAAAAAGGGAAGTGAGAGGATAATAGGATCATCATAGAGAGAAGGTCAGCAGTAAGACATATGAATAAAGATCTCTGTGACATAAGTTTAAGGAAAAGTACTGTGCCTTGATATGCATATGCAAACATCTCCATAAACCTTTTTAGTGCATAAAGAGCAGAATTGCTGCTAGCACGTCCCACCTTCAGCCCTAAGGTGGTTTTCTCCTTTCTCAGTAAACAGAACATACAATCGGGTTTTACACTGAGACAGTCCATTGCCCAGGGACGGGCAGGAGACAGATGCTTTTCTCTATCTCAACTGCCAAGAGGCCTTCTTTCCTCTTATACTAGTCCTCCTCAGCACAGACCCTTCACAGGTGTCAGGCTGGGGGATGATCAGGTCTTTCCCTTCCCACGAGGCCATATTTCAGACTATCACATGGGGAGAAACCTTGGACAATACCTAGCTTTCCTAGGCAGAGGTCCTGTGTCTCTGGGTACTTGAGATTAAGAGAATGGTGCTGACTTTTCACAAGCATACTGCCTTCAGGCACTTGTTCAACAAAGCACACCCTGCACAGCCCAAAATCCATTAAACCTTGAGTCACCACAGCACATGTCTCTTGCAAGGACAAGGTTGGGGGTAGGGTAACAGATTAACAGCATCTCAAACACAGAACAAAATGGAATCTCTTATGTGTACCTCTTTCTATATAGACACAGTAGCAGTCTGATCTGTTTTTCTTTTCCCCACATTTCCCCCTTTTCTTTTCAACAAAACCACCATTGTCATCATGGCTCGTTTTCGATGGTCGCTGTCTCTTTGGAACTGTTGGGTATACCTGCAGACTAACAGCAGACAGCACAGGCACACAAGGATTAATATGAAATTTACAATAGTAGTACTTTAGATGGTCTTAACCGAAGTTAAGATTTGCGAGGCCATCAGCAACTCCTGCAATTGCCTCAGTTTATGGTACCAACACAGAGAGCACATACTTCACCAGGTAATAAAATATCACAAAGCAAGTGGAGGCAGGATGAGATCATAGGACCACAGGATGGCGTTAAAATTAAAATTAAAATTGCTAATGAAATTTCCGGTACGCATTGTCATTGATAACATCTTATCAGGAAACAGGGTTAGAGAGCAGACACCCTGTCTGACCAAAATTTATTAGGCAGGAATTTTCTCGTCCTAATAAGCCTGGGAGTGCTACAGGAGACCGGGCTTATTTCATCCCTTCAGCTTCGACCGTAAAAGGCGGCACGCTTCCAAGGGGGTCGTTTATGGGCCTACCCTCAGAGCGCATTCTCTTTCTCAGGGATGTTCCTTGCTGAGAAAAAGAATTCAGTGATATTTATCCTATTTGCTTTTAAAAAGAGGAGAAACATGGCTCTGTTCCGTCTGGCTGACCAGCGGCCAGTTCAAGGTTACCTCCCTTGTTCCCTGAACATCACTGTTATCCTGTTCTTTTTTCAAGATGCCCAGATTTCATATTGTTCAAACACACATGCTCTACAAACAATTTGTGCCGTTAACACAATCATCATAGGGTTCTGAGGTGACATATCCGCCTCAGTT